AAGATACAAAACTGGCTATTCCTACAGGATGGAGAAAAGAAACAAATTGTGTCTCCACCAGACGGAATTTATTCATAGGTCTATTGAAAAAATTTTTGCATTCCATCTGTTAGCTACAACTCTCAGAATTGTAAAATCACTCAAAGACAATGAAAGACACATGCTCCATAAAACCAGATAACCCAGAAAGATGTACTCTAAGCAGAGCATAGTTTTCCATATAAGATACCAAGTAATCTTTCGGTATATTTCAAAGTTTTTCACAATTTTTTTCCCCTAATAGATGATGTAAAACCAAGACAATACAAAATGCTTTCCTTATTATCCCTATGATTGTCTCAAGTTCTCAGTTTGTATTTCTTTCTTGTTGTTATTGCTTAAAAACTGCTTGATAATCCACACACAATAATTGTACATATTTATGGGGTACATATGACATTTTGATACATACATATGATGTATAATGATCAAATCAGGATATTTGGGATACCTATCACCTCCAACATTTATCATTTCTTTGTGTTGCGAACATTTCAAATCATCTCTTCTATCTGTTTTGAAATACACAGTATATTGTTGCTAACTATAGTCACCCTATTGTGCTATAGAGCACTAGAGATTATTCCTTCTATCTAACTGTATGTTTGTGTTCATTAAAAACCTCTCTCCATCTGCTCCTCACGCCTTCCCTGTCTCTGGTATCTATCATTCTCTTATTTTGTTTTTCTAATATAGATGTAGCTCATCAGATAAAATTTCATTCCAAACAGGTAAGAAGATTCATCTTTTATTTGCAGGAGCAGAAAACTAAGATGGCCATTGAGAGATCAAATCCCCTCTTGGAGAGTGCATCTCATGTGGCATAATGAGATCATCTTTGATGGCAAGAGAAATATCATATATGAGACAGCATCAGATATGAGGGAGCTTCAGATGGAAGTGGGGGGACAGCAGGCTTTGTCTGAACCCTTTGTGGGTCTGACATTTGGGGCTGTCAAATGAAACATGAAGATGCATTTCAAAGATTTTCAATCAATCTTTTCTGGAAATTTATTTATTAATTCTTCTAAGTCTAGGAAAATGTTATTTTTTTAAACAAATCGAGTTAATTTGTATCTCCCAGAGGAGCCATTAATTTCCTGCCGTTTTTCTCTTTTAACTGCCTGATCCAAGAGTTGCATATATTTTGCATGAAAACCCTCTCTTCATTTATCCTCTGTAATTTTTTTTTCATCTTGAAGTTCAAATTCCTTTTCTACCACCAATAACATCAACAGTAAAGAAATTGTTCAAATGTAGCTCTCATGCTCTGATCAAAGCTATTTCCCTCAAGGTGATTCATATCCTCAGACTTTCAAAAATGTGCAAACATTTATGTCGTTACTAATACACCAGCAAAACTTCAACTGTACCAAAGGCCAGAAATAAAATTAGAGCAGTGAACTAATTAGCATAGTAGGTACTAAAAGGAACTGACACTTAGGAATGGGAGGGTGGAGTTTGTTAAATTTAAAACCCAAAACATCAACAAGGTTCTTCTCAAGCCTTTTGAGATTCATATATTATTGTATTGCCACTAGCAGCATGCAGTGTCATCCTATATTTCCTTAAGAAATATAAAAACTCATACTAGAAAACCAATTGCTTTGCATCTGGAAAAAAGAATTGAATGCATTTTGGCTTTTGAGTTGTTCAGAACAATGAAACTGTTTCTCTTCTGACTGAGAATCTATAATTGCAGCTCTGACAAAAAGATGTCTTGAGACAAATTCTTCTTTTAAAAGGCCTTGATTAGATGGTGTTTACCCTTAACTTAAAATTGTGTGCCCTGAAGACGCTTTGCATAAAATTGGATTAGCATCTGCACCACCTTTCTGCAGGATTTAAGAGTCAAAGCTCTTTGAACCGCCACCTTTACTCTCCCAGTGTGTCTGATTGATGTGACTTCATGTTCGCAGGGAAATTTATCATGTTTGCAGGAGAATTTTGTCTATCTACCCTTAAAAATCTTTGTCCAGGTTGTCAGAATAGGAATAGTAGAGTGGAATAGGAGTGGCTCTCTTGATCTGTTTTGTCATCTATTTTTTCTATTCTTTCCCAGTTTTTTCACATGCTGATAATGGTGACTACTAAAAGCACTCTTCATTCCTTATGCCTAGCTGCTGATCCTCGTCAGCAATGAACAATTGTATCTATTGGAGAAGAATCAAAACCCACCAAAGGGTGACATGGAGTCTTGAGCCAGAACAGCCTGGGTTTGAATTCCAGCTCTGGCTATGACCAGCTGTATGACCTGTCACAAGTTCCTTCATCACTCTATTCTCAGTTTCCTCATCTATAAAACAAGGGTGATATGTTAATACCTATTTCGATGGGTTATTTTAGAGATTAAACAAGCTCACTTCTGTAAAGTGCTTAGAACCCAGCTTGGCATTTAGTATGTGTCATATATGTATACTTTGAATTAATTAATTAATTAAAATAATTGCTTTTCATTGTGAAAACTGGAAAAAAGCTAAATATCCATTAACAGGAGGCTGGTTAAATCAAATATAGTACATTTGCACAGGAGTATATAATGCAAGCATTAAAAAGAATGTGATGGTTTACCCTGTTTAATATGGAAAGATCTCCAAGAAAAAATATACATACGTATACTTATGTGCATAGTAAATTAAGTCTGAAATAACATGCACCTTATGATTGTTTCTGAGAGGCACAAAGAGAGACTTGGGAATTTGGGAGGCTTCCTTTTTATTATATATCCTCTTGTTCTACTGAACAGTGTAATCCAATTTCAGTTATTACTTCTTCAATAAAAATCCAGTGAATTAGGGAAAAAAAGATAATTGAGAAAGATGAAAGATTTAATTTTGTTACCTAAAAGAATAAAGACAAATATAAGAGATTCTGAAGTGCTTTGCTTGTTATCTTTTGCATTCAACACAACTTTAGTGTTTTCTTTGGGAACTGAAAGTTGGCTCTGGAAATTCTCAACCCTCATCCTCTTCTCTGAAGCATGATTTGGGATACAACATAGACAATAGCTCACTATAATTAAGGCATATTTTATTAATTATAGGTATGAAATTGAATGTGCTTTTAAATGTACACTTTACCTATCCCCCACCAGAAGGTTTTGTTTATTTTGAGGGAGATGGATCTGTGGTAAAGGAATAGCAGTAGGACCAGAAAGAGAGTCTTATCAAGGAAAACACAGAAAGCTAGCGATTCCTTATGAACGGATGGCCTCACTGCCCCAGATATTTTTCCTACCTCTTTATTGCGATGCATACAATTAACACCATTATTCACTACTTAGGGTTAAGATACAGACTTTATGGACAGAGATTATAATGAAGAGGAAAACATTATGTATAGAAGGCAAAAATTAAAAAATTGAAGTGGTTGAGGATTAGGTAGCTACAGTAGGTGTGGGCTTCAGAGATGGAATCCAGTGGTGAAAAAGACATTTACATGGTCAAAGTTAGGTTTGGATCCCAGCTCTGACACTATTACAGTATATACTCATCTTGGGAATTAGTTCACATCTTTGAGTTTCACTTTCCTACTTTGCTAAATGAGGAATAATCCTTGCATGTATGATAATACAAAAAAAAAAATCCTTGTTTTGCTGTATATACCCAGAGCCTAGAATAGCATCTGCCATGTGACTGGTGCTCAATAAATCTTTGTTTAAAAAAATCCAAATAAATTAAATGAGGTAATATAAAGCTACTTGAGTGTAGGTGGTAGCCAATAAATTTTAGTTCTCTTCTTCTGGTTCCTGCAAGGTATTTGATAAGGTTCTTCATTGTATGTCCCTCATGAGGATGGAGGATCATGGGCTAGAGGTAAGAATTAGCAACACCTTCAATAACTATAATCAAGGGGTGAATTAATGGATCGTTGTCAGTCTGGTAGTGGGTTGCAAGACATAAACGTAAGGCTCTGTCCTTGTCATTTGTTACACATTTTTGTCATCTACTTGGATAAAATTGTAAAATGGTGTGGCTCCTCATATATTTTCATGACACCAAGCTGAGAGAAAGGATATATTGTAGGAAAGAATCAGGAGATTTTGATTGATTAACATGAGGGACAGAATTAAACAGAATGAAATTTAGCAGGATAAATTTAAAGTCTCACATTTGGATCTAAAAAAATCCTAAAGCATACTAACATGGTAGAGGAGACTGTAAGTCACAGAGGTTTTTGTCTTCAAAAAACTCAATATGTATCAACATCAAAGATTGTGTCAACAGGTCATGCAATCTTGAGTTGCATTCATGGAGGCATGGTATCAATTCAAGTTAGGGCATGGTCCCAATTTACTCTGTCATTTCTGGAAGATTGTATTGTACTCTCAGTGTCCTGGTTCAAAAACAATATACAAAAACTAATTTGAGTGCAGAGATGCTTGATCAGGATCATGAAGGGACTTGGCACTATGTATGTGGTTTGATGGAAGAAACTAAGAAAATTTAGCCTGAAGGAAAAACTTAGATAAGGATAAGATGTTGCCAGGCTGTCACATGGGAAAGGTATTAAATTTGATCTCTAAGGAACCAACAGGTAGACTGTGATCACCTGGGAGAATTAATAGAGAGAAATATTTTTGTCTCATTATAAGAAAGAATTTTTATGGGTAAAAAGTATTCGAAGAGAGGATAAACATTAGTGCTTTTCTTCATTGGAAATAAAATGCATGTCCTTTTGTAAAATCAGAAAACAAACAAAAAATGTTGAAATATGATATGTTCAATCATCTGTCAAAGCTCAGGAATGCTAGTACATTGTGGAAAAAAATTTTGAGTTTAATAGATCACTAAACTTGGCAGATGTTCACGTAGAGATTGGTCTGTAACTTTGCAATAAAGTTACAGACAGCGTGGCACTTAGATTAAATAACATTTAAGACCTTTTTTAAATCTGAAAGCCTACTACTTTCTAGATGCAAGAAGCATTGATTCTATCGAGATCAGAGCTCAGATACTGACCTTGGTTCTAGGCCTCCTGTGACTATGAGTGTTAGCATGATCCTTGGACTCTATCAGGCTCCATTCACAGCCGGTTAACTAGCATGGAAAGCTGATGCAGTTGCCAAGCAACCCAGATTTGGATAAAGATGCCTTTTTCTAGTGTACCTCATAAGTAGATAAACAAACATTCTTTTGATTATGACTCAATCTTCCCTGTGGATACATTTATAACATGAATGAAAGAAAGAACCAAGGCATATATTCAGGTAATATGTGCAAAATATTCTACGGATAAACAATCTGATCATTTAAAAACCCAACTGGCTCGATCTATGTGAATAATTTCCTCAAGACTAACTATATCATAGTGTGTGAGTACGACAAAGTCTCAGCGGCCCTCCGTTTAACCTTGAGAAAGCAATACCTGGTATAGTATTAGAGGAAGAAAAAGAAGACAATAGAACTAGTGGTAAGTGTACAACTATGTCTCATCTATAATTTGATCACCTCCACCATGGAGTTGATTTGTGAGTTGGATGTCTTTTATTAGAATCTTGGACCACAGTCAGTAGTTGCTGGCAGGACAATGAGGTCAGTTTCTGGCAGCAATGAAATGGTTGTTTCCCCAACTAGACTGTGAACTCTTTGAAGGCATTTATTTTTGTATTTCACAATGTCCAGAAAGTATATAGTACTAGATAGTAATTTATTACGATTACAGATCAAAGATGCCCTTAACAAAATGCATATTCAATTATGTTTCCCAACTTTATGGGCATTAAATACACATATTATACTAAATATACATAATAATATACATATCCAATCAAGATACCTGCAATAAGGCAAATGTATCCTCTGAATACAATTTTTATTATTGTGATACCTAAAAGCTTAAGCCAAGAAAAGCATTTTTCATAAAACAATGATGATAAAATACTGATATTCATTGATCTAATTTTAGCAAACCATTATATTCAAAGCTTTTTTTCAACAATTCATTGGCATGCTTGCATCTAAAAGATGGTGAAGTTTCAAAATCGTATTTACAGTTCAACATTTTTCTTTTTCTGATTAAAAACTATCATGTATCCTTTCTATAATAAAGAAAACCATCATTATTTATAATAATAAAAAAGAACTATGAAGCACCCAATTATTCCCCAGTGGAGTGCGTGGCATTGCTTAACCCATTGTTCAAGCCCTTGTTGGTGTCCCTGCGGCAGAGGATGAGCAGTGAGGGTGGAGTGGAAACCCTGAACACTGAGGCTGAAGATTCGCTCTTCATCATCTGCGGGAGACTTGGCCTGGACTGAAGGGCTGGCAGCCACACTCCAATCATGTCGGAGGAGCCTGCAGTGGGTGCTGCTATAACTTCCCTTGATCTCTAAGGGGTTTGCATTGCCAACGGCAGTCTGGTAGCCACCAGATCCAAAAGGCACAAGAGGAAGCGTTTGTGGGAAGTTTTCTCCTATCCTCGAAGGGCAAATTGAGGGAGAAAAACCATGCAAGATAAATAGAAGGGGCAAATCAGATTCTCTGAAGGCTCCTGGTGACTTTAAGTTCTCCTCCCCCTAAAATGCACACGTCAGAGGCTCTATCTTACTATGTACATTGTCCTAATTCCAGGAGATAGGTATTACTATCATCCTTATTTACAGATAAAGAAATCGAGATGCAAAGAGGTAAATGGCTGAGCCAAGATTTGTTTTTCCAGTGTTCTGAACACAAAGTCATCTCTTTGCCTTTTGAGAAAGAGTGTTCAGAGAAGACAGAATCAGCCGGAGCAGAGGTGTCATTTAGTTCAAATCTCCACCATCCCTACTTTTCTTTCTTACATGGGCAGAGATGACATCTACCCAAACCAGGGCCTTCCACCTTTTCATGCCTCTGGTAGATTCTAAGATCATTAAGCTCTTTGGGGGCAAAATTGTGTCTCAGTCCCGTTTTATCCCTAGCATGCAATTCCTGACATCCAGCAGAGATATGGAATGAAGTCTGTGGGGACAAGCCCTTTGCCATATTATCTCCATTAAAAAGTATGCAGAAGTTTTTCAGAAACCTCAAGCTTGTGAAGATCTGGGATTTCATTTTACAAGTTTACTATATTGGGAAAATAAATTGGCTAATCTATGTTTTGATTTTTTGTGAGTAACATAATGACGAGGTTGAGATGTGTGGTCTTTATGGTGCCCACTGTCCCTTGACCTTCTATGTCTACAGAAAAGCTTAACGTTTCCGTAGACAATAGAAATATTCTACTTGACTATTTAGTTCATATCATCAGTAGCACTTGCCAGCTCTTACATAGCTCAAATTCGAGATGCAAAATTTACCACTTTAGGGGAACCTCATTTGCCCACAAGGAATTAAGGAAAGCATACAGAAAACAAGCCCAGGCATTGTTGGCAAATAATCATGGGAACTCATGGATCAACTTTTAGATAAAAGTAGCTATTTACTGAAATTTGGTGGAAGCCAGCCTGAAGACCTACTCATACATATATAATATGGCTCTGTAATCTGTAATAAGTAACTTTCCCCCAGGAAGGCAATCCTTTATCATGTTAAAAGTATTCTGTTTACTTATGGAGATGCAAAAATGTTCATTTTAAGAATGTAAAGAATATACAGGCATCCCTTAGGAAGAAGTTGTGCCAAGGCAAAATGAGAAACACAATACCTATATGTTTATATGTGCACGCAGGAGAATTTTTCAAAATCCAATTAATTCTTAATTGAATACGTTGTCTTAGTAACTACTATTTCAAGATGCTCAGTGCTTACAACATAACTCATAGCTTTACCAAGGCAGGAGAAAAATAGAAAACGACAGAACCTTAAAATACCTTTGCCAATTAAATCCTGAATTATTTTTGACTCCGAGAATAGTCAGTCATTTTATTTAAGCTGTTAAGGATGATAAAGAACACACTGAAACTTCATGCTTCCACTTACATTTTCCCTTTATTTCACAATCTTCAATGAGTTTTGGGGTTTCATCCAATCTCCTTTACCTCCAAACCCAAGATGTTAAAAATAGATATAAAGACCAGTTTAATACTGGATCTTTGCCTTGAAGGCTAATGCCAAAATAATGGAGTTCATGACCCGAGTCACCAAATTCCCATAATCCCAGGGCAATCTCAAGAAATCTATAAAATGTGAAAAGTAAGTAATGAGATGGAGCTACAAACTGCACACCAAAACCAGTTAATGCTTTCTTGTTGACTCTTTGTAGTGAAAAGTTCATTGTTGAAGGTCAAGATGACTGGATAGATTCACAGCAAACTTCAAAGGTTTATTTAAAATTCCAGAAACTACCCTTTAATAAGTCTCTCATATGGTAGGTTCTTGTGGCAGGTCCTGTGCATGGGTTACTAAAAAGCTATTCCCAACTCCCTTTCCCACAGATACTTTAAAGCAAAATATTTTGCTTTATGTAGCTTTTTATCTAGCTAGCTAGGGATAATATGATGGATGGCACTGGGGCCATGAGGCATAAGCAGAACTCTTCTGGGGCACTTCGAGGTGAACTCGCTGTCCCCGGAATGAGGGATAGATGTGCCTAGAAGAGCCTTTCTTCATTTCCCCCTATTCCAGCCTTGAATACACATACACCACCTGGAACTTTAACAGTTATTTGGCCACCATGAGGCCACAAACATAAAGGAAAGGTCAAGAAACTTTCAGTGACATTTGCCACTGGACAATGCCAGCAGCCACCTGCCTCCATGCTTTTAAAAGGACAAAAACAAACCCTTATTTGTTTAAGATACCATCAGTTAGGATTTATGTTGCTTGCAACCGAAAGCATCCCTAGCTGATGGGGGGTTACCATATATCATTTATGATTCCCACGATACCCTGCAAGGTAGACTGTATTATCCCGGAGGCACAGAGTCGAAGTTACTTGTCCAAGGCTGGTCTTAACCACTTCACTAGTAGCCTCAGTTTTTAAATAGGGTTTCATTTACCGGCTAAACATTAATGTTTCATGCACGTCGTATTGCACTTTCTTACTCTCTCTGCGTATGCGGGCACATACGTGTGTGTGTGTGTGTGTGTGTGTGTGTGTTGCAGTATTCCTACCAGGGAATTTAGGTTCTAGTCTAGCTCTGCTGTAACTTGCCTTCAAGGTATCTCCTCTACTCAGTTTCCTCTTCTATAAAATGATAGACTGGATTAAAGCTCAGAAGTCTCTTCCAGCTCTGAAGTTCTATGATGCCATCATCTCCTCACTTCCATTACGTATGTACTGTGGCTTGAATATTTCCCCCAAAGAGCATGTGTTGGAAACTTAATCTCCAATGCAACAGTGCTGGGAGGTGGGGCCCAATGGGAGATGATTAGGCCATGAGGGCAGGGTACATGGATTAATGCCAGGAGTGGGATTGTTATCTCTGGAGTGGATTCCCTTGTATAAAGGAATCTACATGAGTCAGACTATTCTGATTATTGCTTTGCCTCTGCTGTCCGTTTCGGTCACTATGCCCAGCTTGCCTTTGATGGTGGAGTGCCAGCACTCGGCCGCTGCCACTCCAGAATCCAATTATTCCCATTGCACTTAGAGTTTTTCAATTGAGTGAGTGTTCCCACTGTAAGGTCAGGCATACAGAAAAGAGCACTCATGGAGCTCTTCGGGGATGCTGTGGCTCCCCTTACAAATGCATTTCTCAAGGCACCGGTGAAAGGTGTGTCTGCTGGACCTTCCCAGTGTAGGCGAGCAGGTTTTACCTGGCAAATTCACTCTTGCATTCCCATCTCCCTGAGCCCTTGGATCCCTTCCGCTATGGGAAACCAAGGGAGATGAGGCATCTCCAGCTTGCTCTCCATGGGCCATCTTTGCATGCATGTTTCAGCCAATCAGTTAGCCCCTTTCCTAACTCCCTAGCTTCAACATTAAGCTCTCCGCTTAGTGGGCCCATATCAACCAATTCAGCCTAACCCAACTTTATGTTCCTTCCACCACTATTCCACACTCTTTATGTTCATTACCACACATGTTCTCCATATTTCTCCTTAAATAAATTAGAAAACTCAAGTAGTTCTTTTGGGGAACAGCTCACCTAGTCATGGGTCATACTTTGTACTTCATGTTTAGAGGCCTTCTGGGACTTGAGTCTAGTCACAGGTCTAGAAGCAGAGAAGGGTGGCGGGGGTGGGTCCTGAGAAGAATCAGCTTTGTCTTGGTTGGCAACTGCCTGAGGGAAAACCACTAGCAATTCCTCAGGCAATGCAGAGTCAATACCCTCGGGGACAGAAGTGGAAAGGCGGATAACACTGTGGGTGGGGGTGTCACTGCCTCTGGGGCTGGGGGTGGGGATGGGACAGTCATGTCTAGCAAACAGGACTCAGCAGAATTTAGGAGCTCAATGTCTTCAGGTTCGTCAGGGTCCTTTGATATGTCCCCATCTTAATTTGTGGGATTCCATGCTCTCCCAGCCCAGGCCCTCACTTGAACAGGAGACACTCTACAAGGCTGAGAATTAAACTTTCTTCATAATTTAGCCAATTGCAGGATGAGGGCTAGTGTTTGATTTTTGGCAATTTCAGCCTTGTGGGGAGAAGATTCTGACTCAGGGCACACATTGAAACTCTCGGGTCATTTATGTGGAGCTGGACCCAAGAAATTGAATCCATGAGCTCACCCATTTCTTTCATCACTGCGTCCAGCCATGCTAGGGGCAACCAACCATTGTCATCATATTCCCTTGCTTTCCCCCAAATGTTCAAGAATATTACATAGAGAGTCACAAAATTCTTTACCTCTTATAAGTGGTGAATTAGGAGTATCAAATCTATTTATTTTACATATCTCTATAAACAGTTCATGCCAGAGACTATCAGTGATCTCTGTACTATTAGAGCTCTCTGCTCTAAAGGTAGAGACTCTAGCATTTTAAGTCTAATCAGATTAGAGAGCCAATTCCCCAACCCCAAAACCAATGAAGGAAATTCATCCTTAAAATTCTGCTCCTCTAGAACTAGTCCTGGTACCAAAGTCTGTATTAGTTAGGATTCTTCAGAGAGACAGAACCAATAGAACTAATAAGAGATAACTGATAGATAAACAAATAGATAGACAGATAGTCAGATGAGAGATTTATTAGGAGAATTGGCTTACATGATTATGGAGGCTGAGAAGTCCCAGGACAGGCTGTCTGTTATTTGATATTCATGCTATGACTAATATTTAGATAGCCTATGAATAAGAGAGACATAAGGGCAGCAGAGAAGCCCAGAGGAGAATGTTGCAAGGTCCCAGGGGTAAGAATATAAGCATCTAAACTGTAGCATAGTATGGGGATGGAAAGGAGCAGACAGTAGCAAGTGATGTTAAGCAGGTAGAAAAATAATATTGCTAACCAATTAAATGAGGGGGATGGTGAGCAAGAGCATAATACTTGGGAACTAAGCACAAGGAAGTGGTTTTGTGGAACCAAACAATGAGTTTTGCTTTGGACATGTTACACTCAGAATGCGATGTGATATCTGAGCTCTCCAGTAGAACACTGGACAAATACGGGTTGGGGCTTAGAGGACAGAGAATCATCAGTAGTTAGTACAGTGGTTCTCAACCCTTTGAAAACCAGCATCTCCTTTATATAACAAATATTTAATACTTAGTAATGTCCCTGTAATTCATAGATAATATATAGGCACATCTTGTTTTATTTTGCTTCACGTTACCGTGCTTTGCAGATACTGGGGTTTTTACAAATTGAAGGTTTGTGGCAATCCTGTGCAGAGCAAGTCTATCAGCACCATTTTTCCAACAGCATATGTTCACTTCATGTCTCTGTGCCAGCAATTTTTAGCCATAAAGCATTTTTTAATTAAGGTGCATTTTTTTAGACATAATGCTATTGCGTGCTTAATAGACTATAGTACAGTGCAAACATAATTGTTATATGTACCAGGAAGTCAAAAAATTTGTGTGACTAACTTTATCATGATATTCTCTTTATTGCAATGATCTGGACCTGAGCCAGCAATATCTCCCAGGTATGCCTGCACAAATGTAAGGATTCAAATAATACCATACAAAAGAGAAATAAAAGGAAAGCAATGCTTTTAAATTAAAGTAGAATATTTACATATTTAGGTATGACTATACTTACAGTGTATAAATATATGTATGTATGTAAGGTTAGTCCCTGCAGAATTCATTCATTCATTCATTCATTCATTCATTCATGTAACAACTGTTCATTGAATCCCTTCTAAGTTACAAGTGCAGTTTTAGGCACTAGGGAAACAGCATGAAATAAAAGAGAGACAATCTATGGAATTTACATTTACAATCTATGGAAATTACATTACATTTACATGGAGGAATTCCAATTTAAATTGGAATTTCAATTCCAATCTCTCATGGAATTTACATTCTCTTAGAGGGCAAGACAGACAACATGTAAATACATAGGTAAATAGTAACCTTATGGTCATAATAACTATGAAAAAATAACATAGGCTATTGAAATAAAGAGCTAGTGGTTGGGGGAGAGCTACTTTAGATGGTAAAGTCAGGGACAATCTTTCTGAGGCACTATAGATGGGAGAGAGAGGCAGCCCTGCGGAGGAATTCCTGCTCCAACATGGAGAAAAGCTGGGTGTGTCTGAGGACCAGAAAGAAGAATAACACAGCAAGAGTGGAACGTTTTAAGATGAAATCCCAGAAGTAAGCACGTGTCATATCATGAAGGTCAAAATAGGAAGCTGAGGTTTTGTTCTAAGTGTCATATGAAACCACTGGAAACTGTTAATCAGAGGTGTGACATTATCTGATTTACATTTTAAAAGGATATTCTGGAAACTTCCCATTGTGATAGCATGGCAAACTAGATTTCCTGAATGACTCTGCCGTTGAAAACAAGTACAAATTCTGGATAATTTTATACTTTTAAAATTTTAATGATCTTGCAGACAAGTAAGGAATTTGCAGATGCCAAAATGAAATAAAAGCAGAAATCCTAGGAGGTATATTCCTGAAACTGGCTTTTATCCTAATGGTATTTTCTCCACTGTTATAAACGGCAGCTTCTGTTTGATTGCCACTCAGGCCACTCAGGGCTCAGGTGAAGGAAATGAGGTCTCAGGCCCATCCAAAGTGGGAGAAATGTAGAAAACCCTCACATAAAGCTCAGATCCCAAAGGGATGGATCTTAAAGAGAGAACGAGAAACAAAACTACAGTGCAGAAAGAGAAAGCAGGCATTCCCGTACAATGCTGATGGCAGCATAAAATAGCGTAACCACTTTGGAAGGTCATTTGGCAGTTTCTTGTAAAACTAAACATAATCCTACTCTATGACCCGGTGATTCTACTCCTGAGGCCTTTACCCAAGAAAAATGAAAACATATGTCCAAATAATGACTTGTATGGAAATGTTCACAGAAGCTTTATTTATAATAACCCAAACTGGAAACCACCCAAGTGTTCATCAACACAAGAATGGATAAACATATTGTGGTATATGTATACAATAGAATACTAGCTAGCAATAAAAAGGAATGAAATACTGATGATTACAACAACGTGGATAAATCTCCAAAAAAAAAAAAAAATGCTGGGTGAAAAAAGCCTCTTAGGAAAGAGCACAAACTGTATGATTGTATTTATATAAAATTTTAGAATAAGCTAAACTAATCTAAGAAGGAAAAAAAATCAGAATAATTACTACCTCTAGGGTTGGAGGGAGAGGTGGTGACTGGCTCTGGAAAGGCATAAGAAAGCTTTCTGGGATTATGTTAATGTTCTATATCTTGATGGGTTTAAACAAAAAATGGTCAATTTTAGATTTATGTATTTCATTGCATTTAAGTTTCATCCTCCAAAAAGAAAAAAAAAAAACTGTAAACAAATACTGACTCAATTAATTACATGTATGCTGAAATGCTTAGGGGTGATGTGTATTTTCAAATGTATCAAAAAACATGATCAAGTGATGAATGTATAGACAGATGAATGCATGTGTGAGAAAAATAAATGTATTAAAATAAAAGTTTTCATGATAAATTAATGCAAGAAGAAAATAAAGCATGGAAATGTGCCAGTCTTGACTTTGACAGTTGGTGGAAGGCAAAAAATAATTCATACTATCCCAGAAGAAGAATTTAATTTAAATGGTCCTAGGTTGCTAGTGCCCATAAAGCAACTGGGAGACGCAAATATAAGAAAAATGCGAGTTGAGCTCAGGACTCAAAGGATTCTCTTAGGTCAAGGATTCTTAAAGGAGAATTAATTCATAAACAAAATCCCTCAGAACAAAAGGAAACAAGCGGCCATGAATAGGAGTCAATGGAAACAACAGGTTACAGAAACAGACACAAAAGACCTTGGGTATTTGAATTATTAGAGTATGTTTGATGTGTTGAAAGAAATATGAGAGGTTTATACTTGTGAGCAAGGAACAAGAGACTATGAAATGTTACCAAGCAGATTAGATGAAAAGACATCTAGAAATAAAAAGTATAATAATAAATGCTTAAAATTTAGTTCAGATTAGGAACTGAAGAGAGTATTGGTTAACTAGAAGATGCACAAACTATAGCTTAGTGAGACTAAGAGATAGATAATACATAAAGAAGTTAACAGTCAAAAAAGATAGAAAGGGAATATCCAACATACATTAAATCAGAGTTTTAGAAGAGAGAGAGAATGGGAGGAGGAAATATTTTAAGAAATAAATGCTGAAAACAGAAGAGAATTATTAGAAGATATCAACCCTTAGACTCAGGACTCCCAAAAAATTTCAAGCAGGATAAATTAAAAAAATACACACCTCAGCATATCAAAGTAAAATTGCAGAAAACCAAACCAAACCAAACAAAACAAAAAGAATATTTTAAAAGCAGTCAGAGAGGAAAAATGAATTGCCACAAAGAAATGGCAATTAGATTTGCAGGTGACTTCTTCACAGCAATATTAGAAGGCAGGAGACAACAGAAAAATATCTTGAATATTTTTAGAAAAACACAATTATAAACCTAGAATAATATACCTTGTGAAACTGTATTTTAGAAATCAGTGCAATATAGAAACATTTTCATAAGTGTCACTTCTGCTCACATTTCACTGCCCAAATCAACTCAGATGACTATGCCTAATACCAAGTTCATGGGTATCTAGATGGAGAGAAGAACCAGAAATCTTGCTGAGCATTAGATACTCTACTATTGTAGGTGAAATTACATAGGTGGTAAAAACAGTAAAAAAAACAAGGTAAATTAGGAGCATAAGATTCATGAGAGTGGCAACCCTTGTTGGGGAGGGAGGGATACGATTCAGGAAGGACAGACAAAGGGTTTCAAAATTATTTGTTGGTAATAGGCTCTTTACTAAGCTGGGTGATGAGTGCATTTGGTGTTTGTTTTCAATATTCCTAACGTAGAAGTTAGACATTGTAACACTTGTGTATATGTCATGATGAAACAACAACAGACCACTCTGGCTCCTTTGTGGCGAAGGGGTCAGGAGCCAAAGCAGAGAAACAAACCCTGCAGAGAAAATTGCAGCAGACCAGAGAAGCAGGAGAAGAGCTGAGCGTAGGGCAAGAGCAGTGCCAATGGGAGAAAGGGGCTGAATTTAGGATGTATTGTACGGCCAATGAGAAATTGCGGGTTAAGGAAAAGATAGAAAATAAGAAGTACTTGCTAATATTTTAGTCTATATTACTGGCTGGATGGAGATGCCATTAATTGGGAAAAAGGGAATTAGGAAAGGAAAAGTTTGATGGGAACAGACAAGAATTCTTTTTTGGACAAGTTAAATTGTTGATGTCTATTAGATATTAAAAGTGAAGATACCAAGGAGGTAGGACTTACAAGAATCTGGGGAGAGGTCAGGGCTTGAGAAGTTAATTAGGGAGTCATGAGCACATTGGACATACATTTCATCATTTGATATTAAAAGGTGAGAAATGTTTGAATGTATACAAATAACCAGCTAGTTAAACAAATTATGGTGTTTATAATGGAATATCATGCAGCAATTAAATAAGGGTTATAGATTCATATGGACTGGTATTAAAGGTTTTTAATATCAGTCCAGTTTTCAGGACATATTGTTAAATTAAATATCAAATGGCATAACCATATATATTATATGGCTTGTGTAAAAAATAATCACATATATGTATGCTTGCACATGGATGGAAAATTTCTGTAAGCTATGTGAGCAGGTGTCAACAGTGGTTACCTGTCCAGAGGTGGGGTAGAGGCAAGATACGGGGAGGGTGGCTTTTGCTTATCTTTTTTTTTTAATTTAAAATTTTGCTTTGAATGTATATTTTATAAGTCAATAAATAAATACCTAAATGGTGATTGCATTGTTCTTGTTGTTCCAAAAGAAGCTTCCGGCTACGATATAAAGAGAACAAAACTGGGGAACTGGAGACCGGGTTTGTTCACTGACTCTTGGTGTGTTGTGTCAGACCAGACTAAATTAAAGTCTATCTAGGCTTTAATTTTCTCACCAGTAAAGCATCATCATTGAACAAACAGATACCATCTAGGCTAATTTTGCCTCATGCTATATTCTTTCCAGGCTTATTTATTTATAGCACACACCAGCACATGGATTCAGATACTGTTTTGCACCAATCCAATCCAATCCAATCCACCTAATCCAAATCATCCAATGCTAATCAATCTACCAAATCCTATTTAATTCAACATTGCACCCACTATGTCCCAGGCATTGTGTAAGTGGCAAAACAATAAAAGGAAGTCCTAATCCTCACAAAGAGTCCCTG